TATCTCGAGGCCTGCCGATCGATCGCGGGTTTCCCGTGCGCAACGGGCTCCACCAAGGGCAACATACCCTCTAGGTCGGCACCCACGTAGTAACGAGTTTAATGGCCCGCCATTCGCGACACTTTGATCGCTATATGAGGAAGAAATCGTAATCGCCCGTCCCCGCAACGCGTGCGCAAATAGAGATACAAACTATGTGGAGTTTATAGAGTTATGCGTCCTGCTCGAGACACGCTATTGTACGCTAAAGGGAAATTTATTGCGATCACGAAGCCCTTAAAAGGGGAAGCAGTTTGTCCCAAACTTGCGTTTCCCGTTTCGATATTACGATCGCATATCGCGACACGTTAATCTTAGATATAGCGCCGGGACACGCGGCGTTCAGCTCAATTAAACACAGAAATTTTAACGTGATAATGTATATAGGCGCGAAAGTGGAGTAAAATTTAATTAAGGGAATCCGTACAAAAATGCGCGTTCTGTTTCAACTATTTTATTTCAAATATTTTAAATGATTTACTCCGATATTGTATGCACGTCGCAAATTTTATTTCGCCTGCATATGTGCGTAAAATGTACATACCATAGGCACGAAAATTAATGAAAGCCCACCGTGGAAAAACCGCAGCATTATTAATTACATTTTGATTAAAAACGATACAAGTACACTTCATAAGTAACATCGATAAATATTGACCCTTATGAACCCACTCTCAATGACCTTCTCCTTCATATATATCATAGAAGTTATCCTTCTGAGTAACCTTCAGAAAGTTTTAGTCGTTGTTGTTTATTAAAATGTTATAAACAAAAAGGTTTAAAAAATATAACAATTTGTGTCAGTGCTAAGGGAAGTAATTTACTGATATGTGTGTGTATAAAGAGTACAGTCGGGTAAATTTCTACGTCATAAAGCGCAAGTTAAGATAAAATTAAGCATAAGCGAGCTCTGCGGGGCCCATACGTCCTCTTTGTTTTGTTTTTGTTCTCTCACTTCTTTGTAATCTCACTAGTTCATTATACGTTATGTAGCGTATACTGATCACCAGAGGTTTCTTTTTTAATTGCCATGTTTTTTGCCCGGTTTAAACTCAATACCGACTTACTAATGGTCCGCGAACTAGTTCCTGTAATATACAAAATACCGTAGTTTTCACTCACTTCGACACTCACATATCGATACTACCCCTGAGAGATGCTCAATGAGTCCACACGGAAAAATACAATTATTACTATTAAGCTCGTTTATTTTATTTTGTGGTGGCCGCGTGTGTGTGTGCCCTTATCGGTATGGCACCACAGTAATTAACCGCATTTTCTCGCGAGCGTTCGACCGCGCGCCGACTTAAGAATATAAACAAATTCGACAGCAATATTTATTGCCCTGTTCGACATTCTCACCGACATCTCATTGGACGACGAGAGTTAAGCAGGGCACACACACTATTCGTAGAACGTAACAGTAAGGTTTCGACCAATCGTGTTGCTCGATTCTTACTTCTACGGTTACAGACGGCCAAACCGAGCAACGCGATTGGTCGAAACCTTACTGTTACGTTCTACGAAAAGTGTGTACCTGCTTTAAGCGGGCATATTGTGGAGTGGCACTATTGCGACTCGCAGAGCGTGGTATTTTTGGAAACGCATCCTCCACGTAACATCGTTACATCCAACCATACACTCCTCTCCATCACTATCATCCACGACGTATCCCCAAAGTTTATTTTGTTTTTATAAGAAACATTATTGTATATTGACAAAATAAACAACTTGATCATCATCATCACTGTGGCGCAGAGAGATGTGCGCTGTTCTATTGAGCCGAATATCCGAGTTCAAATCCGACCGAGAATCGTCGGTTTTTATTCGACCTCTCGGAAGGTAATGGCAATCCACCAAAAGTATTTCTTACCACGAGCACCCCTCTATATTTAAGGGCTGGTCCTCTAGGTTGGCTGGCCAGGTTAGAGATTGGGTGTTAGGGACTTCTTTCCTTTAAGACCTTTAAGTAATCCAGTCTACAAAATAAAATTGCAGCTAAACTGACATCTAAACAGCTGCATTCATGTCGTTACATGATTCCTCAAAATATGATTGACTTTGAAAATCTTATCTTGATTTAACTGGAATAACTTTATTATACAAGATGTTTGTATTTATAAATCATGTACAAGAAAAGGTACAACAGAGGGTACTAGTAGGGGGTACTAGAGCAATTTGCTGTTAATAACAAATTGCTCCAGTATCTATTACAAATTAATAAACTTTATAAAAAATTTATTAGAAGCTTATACTTTTCTTTCCTGACTGTCTTTGCACCCATATCTCAATCATACAATAGTGCAACAATTTTATATTAATGATATGTATGCTAAAGAGAAAATATTCCACCATTTCTGAGATATGGGTACAGAGACAGTTAAAAAAGATAAATATAATCTTCGACTAAATTTTTTAATAAAGTTTATCAATTTATAATAGGTTCCTTATACAGAATAATAAATTAAATTATAGATCAGATTTTTCAAATTTTTTTTTGTTTATAACTTTTTTTAAATAAACTACCAGCGACGGCTAAAACCTTCTCAAGGTTATTCAGGAGGGTGACCTTTATAATCTATGTGAAGGAGAAGAGGTCATTGAGAATGGGTTCGTAAGAATAAATATTTACCAGCAAGTATTCCAAATTTGCAAAAATAAAAAAGAAATCATGTTCTTCAAATAATAATTATTGCAATTGTTGTAATTAATTACACACAATATATATGTATAATTAATTATAACAATTAATAGTAATTAATATGTATATTCAATTATATATACTTATATATATCTAATATATATAAATATATATTTGGAGTAGCAAAATTATGTGTATTTAAATTGCAAAATAATACAAGTTTTTATATTACCGTCGCATATTATACGTGCCGTTAATGCAGTCAAGCATACATTTTGAATGAGATTTTGTGAGAGAAGCAGAGTTTTAATGAAATTGTTCGTACTGATGAGAGTAACGAGCGTCATAAGGGTTCTCATGTAATGTGCGTACGCTTAAAAAAAAAGAATCTGAAACGCGGACATGTCGCGCGCGTTTTTATTTTTTACTCTTCAGTAATCTCATTGCGACGGCGTGATTAAGGTCCTCGTGATTTAAAATGTTACTTCAGCCGGAATAATTGTGAAAACAGAACGCGATATCCGCGTGTAAAAGCATTCTTCCTTTGTGGATTCGCCCTCCAAAACTGTATTTATTTTAACAATTAAAGTAATTTAAATCGACCGTGACTGGCAATATATAACGTCTTTTCGATATAAACATTGAAAAACTGTGAGCCAACTTGGTTTGTCGGATTCACACAGCACTTTTTCGGATCAATCATCGAGACATTATTAATTTCGATCATGGGTTTTGGTCAGTTGATGTAATTTCTAAATTAAATAGTTTAATTTTTATTGCGAAAAATATTACCCCATTATATTATATCGAAAAGACGTTATATATTGCCAATCACGGTCGATTTAAATTACTTTAATTGTTATTCTATATACTGGCGAAAGAAATTTATTATTCTGTATTTATTTTATTTTAATTATAATTTTCGTGACGATTTCGCGATGCAACGTATACAATGCTCCAATTTCCCACACAGTCTGAATCACAGTCTAATTAACGATTTGCAAGCATCGCTTATTTCGAAACCCTAATGGGATATGGGAATTTACAAAAGTGTATAAATATCATCATTGTATAATATCAAAACTGATATTGTGTCTATACGCCTCTCGCGTGTCCCAGCCGAAATTATGTCTCTTGACTGATTGCGAGAATTATTTTCCGTCGGACAGTCAAGCTGCCACGTGTCAAAACGCACTCAAAGCACTGATAAAAGGCGCAGTCTCTTTTTTACGATGCATTCATGCCGTTTCGGCCTGCAAAACGGGGAATTTCATTCAAATTGAAACGCGTGAATCGTGCGCGTCAAAAGAGAATATTTGTGATTGCAAGTTTGAATGAGGTTCGCGATCTAGCCAGATGCGCCTGTCGTCGATCGAAAATTGTGCGACGAATTTGACCTCCGTAATTATGTTGTCAACATAAGTCGTGATAAAAAGAATGCTTTATTAGTCATCGATAATACCGCATATCGTCTTTGTATTATAAACAAACAAACGGTTTGGAAATAAATATTTGTACAACCAAAAGGATACTAACCCTTCTAATGGAAACGCAGTTGTGATTATATACAAGGTTTTTTTTGTAACTCGATCCCTTAACTTTACCGCAACGATATATTTAGTTATGTTCTCTTCGCAAAGCGATCTTTCAGAGCGTACAGTTATCTTCGCAGGTTCAGACAGTCGCGAAAATTGAGCTTATCTCGCGCGCCATTCGCTTTATCTCGCCCGACTTAAGGAGATCGAGCACTTGGTATTCTCGTCCGATAGCCATTATCTGATCGCGCGGCCGGCTTATTTCGCTTCATTTGTCGATCTGCGTCGACGTCCTATTATACGAGCCGCAAGCTCTCCATCTCTGGTGCCCCGCCTACGGTCCGCCGGATTTGAGAACCAACGACCCGTTTCGTGAGATACGGTGCCGCGGCATTAGCGACCATTCGGACGTCCCGCCAACTAGTGAACTCTAATTTGCGGTCCCCGCTAATTGAGGAACGAACGCGAGACCGGCGGTGATTGCACCGGCGGACAAATGAAGAGATTCCCGGATACGACAGAGCCTCGCGTTATCATAGTTCCGAAGTTGTAACCCAATAATAGTAACAACTCGCGGTATATTAGCAACTGAGTTGTCAAGAGAAAACAAGGTTTTGGATTTTTATTGTAGTTTTCGAGATACTTGAACACACATATACATGTAAAAATTTCGAGCTCTCTTTGCGTGACGAAAGAAATAAATCCTGTATTTTCGAATGGCTTTTAATGCCGGTATCAACTCGCGGCTATATGAGATAGAAGCGCTATGGAGACAGAATACTTGCCTGGCGTGACGAGAAGCGCGATGCCAAGGAGCAGAGCTCTTGTCGCCACTTCCACGACTCGTCGGACGCCCCTGCGACACCACCGTAACCGATGCCTCTTCTTCTCATCGTCCTCTTCCGCTTCATCGTTTTTACTCGCGTGCTCGAAAAGGCCCAGGCAAAGCCGCAGCTTCCGGTACACCGCACCGATCTCATCCGATTCGGGCATGCGTCGCTTCAGAGTCTCCTTTTTCTCAACCGTTTCGCTCTCCTGGCGCCTATACGATCGCCGGCAGCCTGTGCAGGTAGGCTGACCGGAAGCGAGGATCGCTTCGTGGTCAGTCCTCCTAAGTGGAAGTCATTATTTCATTATATAAGCGATTTTGCCTCTCTCGGTACTTATATGTTTATTTTATTGACCATTACGAGCCGCAAGCTCTCTGGAGTCTTTTGTATAATATTTTTTTAGCACGAGCTTTATAAGCTTTATATTCTCCTATTATTTTTTCTCATCTATTATAGAATGTCTCATATATAGAATGTCATTTTATGTTACTTTATTGACTATTAATTAGAGTCTTTTATATCTTCTAGTTTTAAAAGTCTTATATTTTCCTATCATTTTTTTTCATCTGTATATACATAGAATATCATATCGATATCATTAATAAGAAAATAAATTATAAGTTTACTTTCTTTGATTTTAATTTTACACACGTTGCATGCAAAGCAGATTTGACCGCTGAACAAATAGAGCGCATTTCCTCCGCCGCGACATCCGCGATCAGTTACCTGTCCTCGTAGTCGTCACAAGCGGCGTTCTCCTCGGTAGCATGGTAGCTGTCGTGCCTTAGGGACCGCAGACCCTGCGAACAAGTTCCTCCGGTACACTGGAACTCGAGCCTTCGCCGGAGGTCCGTGGCTTGTAGCCCTCCTCCGCCCCCCATACCCCCGCTCCCATAGTACCTGCGGGTATAAGCGGTCGACGTCCGCGTTATAGCTATAGCACACGCGGCGCGGTAACAATCATCGGCCGATCTCCTCGTGGAAGGTGAGCTATGGCCGGTAAATAACATGTCGCTCAATATGTCGCGCAAGCCACGAGTATCCGCGTAAATAAGGAGCCGTAAACTATAGTACGCGCATTGCAGAAAGTGGCGGATATGTCACGAAGTGACGGTAAATAACAATTGTGAATTTATCGGATATCGACGTATCGGATATCGCGTTAATCGTCATGGCTGATGAAAAAAATGTCATCTCACAAAAATTTGTGGGCTGGTCTTTTTATATGTAAAAATCGAGGATAGTTTTAATATCAATTTCGACTTCAATTGGTATCGACCGACGCGACGTAATAATTAAATGGTTGTCGATTACATCAAAAACGTTAAGCGTATAAGTTAATAGGGATAAAGTTGTATGTAAAGTTGAGAAGGTAACACAGATGGATTATCCGCATATCCATCTCTTTACGAAAATAGATTTGACAGTCCGGGTAGTCGAGGCTTGGCGAGCTTTAGACAAAATTTGACTTTATTCGATTTATTCTACTTTGTTTTCTCACTAGTGTAAAGTGTAAATGAAATTTGCTCACCCCTGCCGCTCCGCTACCACTACCGCTGCCCGGATCGTACGCCCCCGATGCCGATTTTTACGAACCTCGCCACTTCCTCGCCGTTCTCGACAGGCACTTTAACCTCCGCAATGTGTCGCTGTCATCACCTGCAACATAAGGAAATACGTTCATTGGTCAGTAATGCGTTAATTGGAAAATGACTTTTACTCATTTCCGTTAGTAAAATATTAAATATTATTAGTAAATATTATCTCAATACACATTTAATTATTAATGATAATATTAGATATTGCGTGCTATTGATTGGTTGCGCACGGATGAATCATTATTCCGCACACTTGCGCGGTCGATTATTATTCTGCGGTTACGGCTATATCTTTGGACAATAACCATTAGCACACGTGCGCCCGCGCATCCGTACGTGTGTACGTACCAGACGAATGAATCCTTTGGTAGATGGTTGAAATTCCGTATAGGCGAAACATGAATCGATTCGATTAGCAACATACGTGCTCAGATACAAGCTTGATTGATTCAATTTGGGTTTCGGCCTCTGGCAATGCTCAAACAGAGGTAGACGCTCCGAAGATGGACTGGTAATTATATCACGTTTCTGAGGCTGCCACGTGACCTGGCGGAGGCGAGGATAGAGCCGGCATTAAATGATACGGCACGAGAGAAATTAAATATTTCTAACCCTTGAAGCGTGCGACGTGAGTTCCATAACTTAATCAACCGGCTCCAATTTAGGGTCTTTAATGTTTCAGCACCGTCACGGATGATCGCAAACGGACGCGCCGTTTCTATCCGAGAGCGCATCATGTATTTTTTACGCGACATCAATTCTTCATTCGAACCGGACTCGCGATTTTGTATATTCTAATAAAATCGAGCTGTGCGATTGGCGCGATTGCCGGTAACGTCGAAATTTCAATGCTGTTTCGACAACGGAAAAAAATATTATAATAATTCGATTGTAACCACATGAGCGGACAACGCTGATTATGAGGGTATATGCAATGGAATTGTAAATTAACAGCGATTGCATTTGATGCCGCAGTGCTTAACTTGAATGCGGAAAGTAGTCGCGATTTAATGCAAATTATATTACGATATGTGCGCGCGATGTATTACGGTCACGGAATAATGGCGCGCGCGCGCGCGCCGATCCCGCAGATTATTTATCGTGCGTCAATACGCGAAGATTTTACTTCATTCGGAGCACGTTCGTGTAATACTAACTCCGATTGGAATTACGGACCATTCTGCTAATAAAACGGCCGTGCTACTGATGTAGAGAAAGAGAGAGAGAGAGCGCGCAGGTGCGTATTAGACACTCCCATTCGATGATCCCGCCGAGTCCGTATTGAACGAACGATGGAACGAATTTCTTCTTGTCCGAAGTTATTAATGGAATAAGTCTTAAAATATTGGACTGAAATACTACGGAGACTAAGTTATTTTTTATTTTGAAGGTATATGATAAAACTGTTCTAATAAAAAAAATTAATTAGATAACAGACAGAAGAACATTAATTTTATCTATTTCCTTAATAAATGACGCAATCTCCGTTGGGGAAAAAGCTGTAAAATTAATTTTTGCATTAAATGGATAAGTAATATAGTAGTGTTGCACAGTAATCTGCGAGCGAATGCCGCGGTAAAGTTACACCGTAAGCTTACAGCGCTCTTATTTATGATCACCGTCGGCTACTAATGCTGCAACATCAATCAGGTGTTGTTATTCATTCAGTGCTGAGCCAGATGGAAGATTAGACGCTTGCACTTCCTTTAAGGATAGAACAGCAAGTGGAAGTTAAATTCCTGTACGCGACAGTGTCATCTGTCGATTAACGACGTTCTCCGAACCGTCATTGTTACTTACACATTATAATCTACGCATAATGTGTGTATTGCCATTTGCAAAACTTGTAAGATATCTTCTGATACAATATAATTTTAATGTGGCTTCGTACACAGTTAATTGCAAGGTTAATTGTATCTCCTACAATTTCCTGCAGTTTAATTATCGCAGAGCGTTTGTATTTATATATTGCGAAAACAGCTCAACGATTCGTAAGATATCGGCACAAAACACCGCTAGTATTTTCTGTCAGATTAAAGCGCGGTCAGAATTGACTTTTCGAACAGACATTGGTTACCTTACTATCCCCCGACTTTATGGCCGATATTATTTCCAGAGTAAAGTCACGTTTTACTACCTCGCGTCAAACTACCCTAACTCGGATGGCGGTGGGGTTAGAGATTCCTATTTCATGACCGAGATTGGAGCAATGAAGACCGCGATTCCGAGTCAGTTTGCAGATTTAATCGACGGCAGCTTGATCAGGGATACCATCGCGAAAAAATTGCTTTTTCTGCAGATTCATCTTTAATTCTTAATTTTTCTTCTTTTTTATTTTTTATTGTTTTTGTGGGCGTTGGAGCTCTGCGACTATTGACAAATTACGTATTTTATTGATCGAACGATAAGTATAGAACGACTACGCTAAGTGCGAGGAAATATTTATTGTCTTTCTCATAAATATGAATTTAAGCAGCTCGGAACAAGCGCGATCGATTTAATAGCGCGGAATGATCTTCCGACTAGATTCCGCGATTCTACCGACTTGCAAGATGAAGTCATTTCGCAGTCGGAACTATTTCCAAGACCGGGAAGTATTCGGGTCAGGGTATAAATGACGAGCGTGTATACCTCGCGCGGTCGTCACCTTGAAGAGAGAGGAATGTCGGAGTGGATAGTGGATGGTACGGTCAGCGCTGATAGAAGGTGTTGGGCTGCACTGTTTGAACAATGGCACATGTCGCCCACGCAGTTGCAACCCACCAAAGGGGCTGCGACACTGGCTGTCATAACTTGTCTTCGTGTTCCTGGATTATTAGGGCCGAGCCGGTGGGACTGACCAATTTCTCTCTCTCTCTCTCTCTCTCTCTCTCTCTCTACTGTTCACGAAACCCCCTACATAACACGTATCATATTCGGTCAGGCCATGAAAAATTCAACACCAGACATGTCGACAATTTAAATTCCAGCATAAGTAACAAAGTAAAAAAAAAGTAAACATAAGAAATCGATTCGGAGACATTACATCCGCTTCGGAAAAATATTTTCACGAGTTTTCACACTTTTATAATCGCGCTCATCACTTGTGCGCCGCTCCGAATACTTCCCGGTCTTGGAAATGATTTCGACTACAAAATGATTTCATCTTGCGAGCTAAGAATCGCAAAATTTGATCGAAGAATCCGTTTCATTGATATTAAATCGATCGTCCGTCCAAATATTTATATTTTTGATGAATCATGAGACACGAAATTGGGATTATTCTTATTTACGAATTATAGATACCTCGTCACTTTTTAAGGTAGTCCTTTCGCAGCACCTAGTCAATTAACAGTCTGTCATGAGGCAATTGAAAACAAACATATTGCAACATCCCAATAATTATAATAATATAAAATATGATTTTACACGCACGATTTAATTGTATTTAATTATTTACTAATTAAAAAAATATCACAATAGTAGTGCGGTTGAACTCGATTTAGGTTAGGTCTACAAAAAAATAATTAAATATGATTAAATCGTGCGTGTAAAATCATATTTTATATTATTATAATTATTGGGATGTTGCAATATGTTTGTTTTCAATTACCTCATAACAGACTGTTATTTGACTAGGTGCTGCGAAAGGACTACTTTAACGTCGCCTATAGCGAATAATACCCAGCGTACATAAGATCGATATCGACAGGATCGACAGAGGATTCAACGAGAGTGAGTTCTTTCTTGCTCGTAATGCGATCTGCTTTCGTGCTATTAATGCAATTCGTTGCACCGCGCCTACTTTCATCCGACGTGCTGTCATTTCGAAACAAAACGAAACAGTCGGCTAATTGGCTCGCGTCAGGACTATATACGTCCCATGTGATTTCATTCATTATCGGTGTCTCGGTTGAACGGGAAGCGAGGAAAGTATTGGTGCGCGTCGCGCAACCGATGTGTGCATCGGTCGATTTTTCGGTTCCCGTTTTGTATAGCTGTCCGTCGGAACAACCGCGCTTCAACGTCGACATTTTGTTGCATTTCGCGAAACTGCACACCCGTTTTCCGAGGTCAATGCGCGAGGCGGACACGCGAGTGAATTACTCGTACGCGTACGCCAAATTGCCGAAAGTTTTCAGCCAATTTCACTGACGACGCGCACGAACTTCCCCGTCTGCGCGGCCGGAACAACTATGCACGCGCGCTCGGAAGTTCGACTGTAGATCTTTGCTGTTCGCTTCGTACGTAGGTACGTGTCACGGTGCGTGTACTATATACGGATGTCTGTAATACATCTATAGATATATGTAGATCTCTGCCTTACGTTTAATTCATTCGATGCGAAATTGCGAGTAATTCGTAATGTAAAAGCGCACAGCTCTCTTGAGATTATAAATGTCACGTGGAACGTATAAACGATATGCAAGAAATTTAATAAATTAACCGATTTCGTATTATATCGTGTATTCACTAGTAAAATGGTAATGCATAAAACATTTCTCTCTCTCTCTCTCTTTTTCTCTTTCTCTCGTCGTGTATTTAAAATGATAAAAATTATTTCAGCCGTGTGAATCGCATTTAGAAAATTGTTACGCTGAATGTTCACGGCCAATTTCATTGTGAGGCCGCTGAGCTGAACAATTCGATTTTGGACGACAGTCCAAACGGGTTCGATCAATCACGAAATTCCTATGCTAATGCTTTTATTTCCCTAAAATCGAACAAGCGTCAATTAAGGTGAAATAAAAACAGACCGACTTTATATCGCGCGGACCACACCCGCGTGTAACAATTAAATTGATTATCATCCGCGTTAACTTTCGAAGAGAGTTTGTCATATACCGTGACAAACGACCGAGCTCTTTAAAAAGTTCCTTTACACGGTTGTCCAACTTCTGCGGATTGTCGTCTTTTGACGGGAAACGTAACTTTCTAAATTGGCTCGGGCCAACTTTGTCATTAGCCATTTTTGCGACTTTCTCGCCATCGGCTCTCTCGCGTTGCATTGCGAAATCGCAAATTTTCTTCTTTTTTTTGTTATTTCGGTCTTATTAACTTGGATAACTTTAACAGCAATCA